AGATATTTCCAACCAATAAGAACAATGCATTACCATGGTTGTGAGCTGACTTTATTATGGTTAAGAAAATATATAAATAGCATGCGTTGTTTCTTAAACTATGTAGTATGTTATGTAATACAATATCTTACAGTCACACACCAGTCATTGTATTTTGATATTTGCGTGGCCCAGTGAATCGGAAGTTACAACGGACAAATAGATGTATTAGCGTACCAGTCGAGCTCACTACCGTTATAGTATATAACAGGCACAGACATGACAAAGTAGAGACGTATTTATTCAGTTCAGTTCAGTCATAACAAGTTGGCAACGCAGTGATAGCAGTGTTTGAAATTCTACGTCTCAGAGGTTCATTTTCGTTTGCCAGCATCACATCTCAGCACGTGGTTTAAACAGCACACAATATCAACAATACCAAACAGTCAATTTCACCTTCAAGCATAAATCCGACCTAAAGAAACTGGTTGGCTCTCACGAGGTGTGCAACAAAGATGGCACTGAAACAGAAGCCAAGTCGGAAATTAAATACCTAGGCGTCATTCTATCTGCTGATATCTCCTGGTCGTCTCATATCTTAGCGATTTCTAGGAAAATATTCCGTCTTACCTTCTACATCAAGAAGTTAAAACATTCTGGTATTACCCAACCCTTACTCCTACAATTCTTTAATTCTCGCATCCTGCCTATTATTCTCTATTGTTCCCCCTTAGTTTTTCCCGGGCTACTGAACAAAGACTATAACATATTACGCAGGATGTTAAATGTTGTTAGCAGGGTAATCAACGTGCCACTTAACCAGCTTGCTAATACTCTGGTTGACAGGCACATGGACTCATGTGAAAAATGGGCCAAGTCCATTTTATCTAACTCACACCACCCTCTTCACTCACAACTCTCCCCTTGCATCTCATCAAGCAAAACCAGAAGCCTATATAGAAAACTATATGCTCGCAACAGCTAGTACAAAACTCAACCATAACCTACTTAGCTCGTGTTCTGAGCGATAAAGAAAGCATTAATCGTGACACCTATAATTCACTAAATAGTCAGTAGAACAACTGGACCTCGTCTTTCCAACTCATATCATTTATAGGTACAACGTTTTCTTTCTTTCTTTTCCTTTTCTCTCTCTTTTTTTCCGTTATGTGCTGCTTTGTTTCTTTCTCTTGCTTACGCTAGTAAATATGATAGCACCTACTTTTCTAACACCTTCAAACACTGTTTCAACTTTGGCTTTGCTACCGACATGCCAATATGTTGTTGTCATAATGAACTGAGATTTCCTTAATGTATGTAGAATTCTATTTATTGATAATGTACCAAGTGGATGCAATACTGTAGTAAAAATTGCTGAGAATTCCATTCTGTATCACAAGTACTGTTTTGGAATAAAGCAAATTATTATTATTATTATGAAGAGAACATAGTAATTTGATGTACGGTGGGGAACAGCCACATGACTCCAAGAATACGTCAAATACCTTGACTGGTCGCCTCTCTAAGGGTAAAGCTTGTGTTGTCTCCACAAAATGAGACTGCTTATAGCTTGTTGCTGACTACATAAGCAGCAATTGTTTCAACTCAACTCATCGAATTAATACCTGGTAGTAATACTGGTTGTATTAGTAGTATTCAGTCTGTATCGTGGTCAGAGTCAATCCAGAATATCGAAGCTGTGAAATCTCAATTACTAAATTCTACTAATGTAAAATGTCAATGAGGAATTCTGGCTATAGCAAGCGATGCAGTCAGACACAAGCATGAAGAATGATGGAATAAAGTGATATTCCCGAAATATTGTATACCAGTGCCCAAGTTTTACACATATATTAATATTGTATACCAGGTTATAGACCAAAGGAGAGTGAGATTTGTCATTCCTAATCAGTTTTATTTTGCAACATGAAATTACATGTTATCAGATTCCACACAATTTTAACTAACATCTTCATTTTTATTCTCTTCGTCTACTAATCCCATAATCTCACACTTATTCCAAATTCTATGCATCCTGTCAATTGCCCTAAATATGACAATAACTGTTTTGCCACTCAACACTGAACTGTGGTAATGACATCACAAGTATTTGAATTTGAATGGCATTTCATATCACCATTATTATTATTATTATTATTATGTCATGTGTCCACACGTATGATTGAATTCCCTCATCAGATATAATCTCTTGAGAAGCCAATCATATACCATTGTACAGCTTGATAACAAATTCATTGTTGAAAAGAGTCTATCCGTTGAACCACTTGTTTTCAGTTTTACTTTAAGGGAATAAATACACCATAAACGGTAATCAGGTAGATGAGAACTTATTGTTATAATCGGAGGCTGGATTTCATGAGGAGTTGACATTCATTTAGTCGATATTGGGAAGCATGACGCACTGCATGTGTGTCTGAAACTGTTTGATAGTAAACAGTCATAATCAGACCATGGGTTGGACGCAGTATCCTTCGGTTACCTGGTGAGCCTGTAACATTTCTTTCTCTAGACACTCTTGAACTACGACGGAATAGCTGTCCAGATCAACCTGACGTTTAGCGGTTCTATTATGTTCAGTTGGTTAATATCAAAATCGAAATTGAAATGAGTAGGGAAATCCTCACCGAAGTTGATTGAATGTTTTGTCATGATTCCTCTGGTGTTCTCTAGATTGTCTTGGATGAGGCAGTCAGTTTATGGTAAATGAGACAATTTTTTGTGTCTTGTTCTTTAGTCTGTCTGTTTGTTTGTTGTTAGATGGAATATTAAATATGATTGCTTTGTATGTGTGAAGTGCGTGTAGATTCGTCGAGAGGTCTGATTTAGTGGTTTAGTGCAGCAGCCTGGAATGGCATAGGTTCAAATTACATCCGCATCATGTGACTTCAACGCACACCGAAAGAATTATTGCAAAGTGAAGATAATTCTACCTCAGAGAATATGCTGCCATCTCTTTTGCATTACTGCAGCTATTCGCATTCAGTTAGAGAAACCTGAGCTATGCATATAAAAGGAAATTATTAATAAACCACTCCTATTATCATGGCAATAATCTTATTGCTTCCTACCCAAATGATTTTCGTTTTTGCTTGTTTGTTTACTTTTCGAACTCTTGTATTCTTTACAACTCGCCCTCGTAATAATTGCATATTTTCCTTCCATTCTTTGTGCATAGTGGTCACGGTTCATCCATTAAATTATTCATCTTGATACGTAACTCAAATTCACTTAATCAACTACTCTTTTCATCGACTTTGAAAAGGCCTTTGACAGCGTCGATCGAGAGGTGATTTGGAAACTACTACGCTATTATGGGGTGCCACCGACAATTATACACCTCATCCAACAGCTGTTCGACAATGCTGCATTCCAAGTAATCCACAACGGGAAACTTACGGAATCCTTCGAAGTGAGGACAGGAGTAATACACGCTGGCTGCCTACTACCGACAATGATTTTCCTGATTGCAGTAGACTGGATAATGTGACAGACAACGGGCTGCGTGGAAACAGGCATAAAATGGACCCACACAAAAATCTTGGAAGATCTGGACTTCGCCGTGGATATATGTCTGATTTCCCACAAACTGGAAGATATGTAAGCGAAAAGCAACAAGTTGGCAGAAGAAGCATCAAAGATAGGAGGGACTTCAGGCGAACATAGAGAAAACAGGGATGGTGAAGATTCCTGGCCAACAGCAGCAGCAACAGACAACAGTCAGCATAAATGTGAGAAATTTGAAAGAAGCAAACTCATTCACCTACCGACCTTGGAAGCATCGTTTCAACTACAGGCGGACGGAACTGACGAGGATATAGAAGTAGAGCAAGCTTTCATTACTCTCAAGTCTGTGTGGAGGTCAACAGCACTACTCAGCAGGAAAAAATAACATCCGGATTTTCAACTCCAATGTGAAGTCAATGTAACTTTATGGATCAGAGACTTGGCGCGTCATGAAGAGCACCTCAAACAAACTACAAACCTTCATCAACATTTGTCTTCGCTCAGTACTCCAGATCAGATGGCTAGGAAGGATTAGCAACAGGGATCTCTGGGAGCAAACCAATCAGGAACCGATTGTGCAACAAATCTGCAAGTGGAAATGGAGATGGATTGGCCATATTCTGAGAAAAGTATCAAGTGATATCACACACCAAGCTTTTGTTTGAGTGGAACTCGAAAGGGAAGCGGCAAGTTGGTCGTCAGTGCGAGGGTGACATGGAGGAGGTGATGTGAAGAGGAGATGAAAGAATGTGGGCAGACGTCTAGTCAGGTGAAAACATTGGCAGAGAACCTAACGCAATGGAGACGTGCAGCTGAAGACCTATGTTCCTCTAGGAATTAAAGGAAACAATAATAATAATCAACTACTCTTCTGCATTGACCACTAATATCAACAACTGTGATTGTGACAATTCATCACTTCTGTTACTCCCCCCTCTTTCATCAAATCAAAAGTGAACATAAATGCAATTGTGTATAGATTAAGGTGGGAATGAATTCACCGAGAACAGCCTTTTCACCGAACTATTTGTGTTTCGTTTCCATTGACATGTCTAGATGGGGATTATTCGCGAATATCAGCAACATCGAATTTGCCACCATTTCCTCAATACAATGGGGATGTTTGATTCTTCCTGCTTTTCAACAGTTCCATATTGTAAATACCTGTTCGTGACAGAAGCAAACTCAACATGTACGACACACTCCGCACTGAGTTCAATCATTTACTTACTATCTCAATACACAAGAACAGTTCACATTTGTTATTAAAACGAAAGGAGTTTAACGAATATACATTTATTGGAGAGAAACTAAAATCTACAGAAAGAAGAAGAAGAAGAACAATACTCAGTATTCAGTAAATAAAGCGTATTTTTCATCATTTTAATAACATCCAAGCAGAGTATTTAGAATAAACACAATTGAAACTATTTCTCAATTATACAATAAGTATGTGGCCTATATTTGTCATTTCCACTGCAGCTCGAGTAGCGTTTTGCACAGCCATACTCTAAGGTTCACTTCCTTCATAGTATTCCTTCACTTCGTCCATTTCCTGATGATTATGTCGGTTTCGTGCAAACCAACTTTTGCACAGCCTAGAGGGAGAGACAGTGAGAGAAAATGTGAAAATGAAGTCATGAATACTAGTCAGAATCAGTTATATTAACTACAGTGCTCAATTAACGATTTAATAATAGATGGTGGCATATTTCTAGAGTCGATAGTAGTTGTGTGACTGGTGGTAGTCATACTGCCTTTTCCAGTGGTGTTTATCCTGCATAGAAGTGATTAAATCTTTTACAATGTCATCTTCAACTAGAAGGAATTCTGGGAAAGGAACACCCGGAAACCTGTCGCCCAACAGTTATGTCCAGGCAAATGAAAGTGGCTCTGACACACGCTAAGGAGCCCATCGAATGAAACCATGTACCAGGCCATCGCTCGAGGGGAATCTCAATGAGAAGTGATGAATTACTTGTCTGCCGGTGACATGAAGGATATCGTGTTTGTGTGTGGAGGAAATAAGAGCCAAAGAGCGGTCGTCGAACCAGCTGAATAGAACTTTGAAATTCAGTTAGTGATTCAAAAATTTGGTGAGTACTTTTCTGACATTTATCTCTTCATACAAAACCCGTGCTAAATATGGTATGGTTGAGTTTTTATATTTTGCCGTCTACACGAGTATAATTTCTAACGAAATTTCTTCTGGTTCTACCGTCGTAGAGATAAAAGGAAAAGGTTGTGAATACTGAAAAGCATGTTCGGTGTCAGACGGGATAATTTTAGCCAACTGCTTGCAAGTATTGAAGTGCTTATTGACAATAATGCCAGTTAGCTAAGCCAAAGGCAGCACACCATTAACCCTCAATAAAGAATCCAGAGTTCTACGTAATACGACAGTCTGATTTTGAAAGGTCCAGATAAGAATAAGTGTGGCGAACAATGAGTAAGAATGGGCAGGATACATGAATTAATAAAATGTAAGAGAAGAGGTTGAGTTAGACCTACAAAAAGGCTCGACTGCCTTGTGTAATAAGTCAAACGAAATATTCCCTTCGAAATCGACTAGATATGATACGACCAACAGAAATTCGGAGAGAAACTGATGCCGAGATGGGAGATATTCAGTTCACTCTCTTTCACATTGCCATCAATATTAAAACGATCAGTCTGCGCGAGTCTTGTTCACATCTGAAACTAAAACCAACAAACTCTATGACATTTAGATGGATTTAGTTTAAAACCGTTTTGAGTGAGACTATTTGTTAACTTCAGATAAGCATCTATTCATATAAGAGCAATGCAGTGCAGAAGCTACTGGGATGCAGGTCGTCAGATCATCGGCAGATTCAGTGAAATTAGCCTTGGGGGAATACGGAAGATAATGCAAAAAGAAGATAAAAAATTAATTACAGCGCCTTGGGGAACACCAGTTTCCGTCAGCAATGAAGTGGATCGTTCTCAATTCAGAATAGTATTTTCTTTGCTAGACAATATAGCTACCTCTGCAGGAGCAAGTGAATTTATAAACACATGGCAATTAGCGCTACCGCTACTGCTCTTGTTAGTATTACTGTAGCCTATAGTATAGATTTTCCCATGGGAACCACATGAAGTAGGATGAAACTGAAAACAAACTGGTCGTTACATGTGACATAACAAGTGCAATACTGTCCAGACAACCCAACGTGGACACAATGAGGCGTAGGTTTTCCGTGGAAGAAAAGGCTCTTTTGAAAATGCACGTAGTATTCGTGAGAATAAGGTATGAGTAGTTATATCAACATTATCAAGTAATTTAGATGTAATCTTTATAATACAGCTCTACAGCACAAATAAGTCACTTATAAAAAAAGACTCACTGAGAACCCGAACGATATCCACTTCCAGTTATCAGCTCATCTTCGGTCGGCGGTTGCAAGGAAACTGTCCTTGTACAGTCATTATCTTGAATTTTTAGTGTGAGGTCATCACTCAAAGTAAAGTTCATCCCGTCGAAATTAACAGTCATTTGTTCTGAAAATAAAATAAACAAAAATACATTTTGTTGGTTTATGGGAAAGGTTTAAACTCTCTACACTTAGACTGAGTTCATGATTGAAGTGAAATAATAGTGATCTAATGATCAACTGAGTCCTGGAGTTCAACCGGTAGAGATCATGGCTGATAATTTGTAAGCCATTAATTTATATCTTACAGTAATATAGAATTTTGTTCCACCTTCAATCGTTACCCATTTTATGACAGCAGTAGTCTATCAGTCCATGGCTATCCAATAAAAATTTAGACATCATACAAAGTAAAAGATGCCAACGGAAAATATCATTCTTATCTCTAGTTTGATAGTACTGAAAAAAGGATTAAATAGTCAGAAGTTATCCTGAATATTGACCGATCAAACTGTTTGAAAGTTGAATAATGCAGGAACTTGTCTGGGATCTAAAGTAAGACCATCAAGTGACCAGGCAGTCTTTTTGACCATTCAGCCGCCTCGACAGGATATAATAACCGTTCAATTCTAAGTCCTTCCAATTCGCGGTAAATAGCGTAACTGCTAGCCAATATCATCGGTGAAGTTTAAAATAACTTAAGTAATTCTATGATTTCCCACCCCACTTCCCTTTATGCTTTTAGTCGTTGAGACATTTCCACTGCGTTACATTTATGAGTGTGACAGTTAGCCACAGTTAACTAATCTAAAATTACTATTCATCTATACACATAGTGTATAATTATGTCTAATTTATTTTCATTCTTGTTTCTTCAATGAATTAAAATATCGCGTTTGAACACGGACTGATATCCGTTAGAGAAGCACTGAAAACCAGCAGGGAGTGCTGAACAACCAGCTGCTGGAAGCACGTAAGAGTTCATGGGTGATTGATTCGGACCCCACTGGCTGAATGGTTTACGAGCTAGCTTGCCTCGTAACCGGTAGGTTCTAGGTTCGAGCCCCTGTGGTGGGTGCATACTTCTGAAGGTGAAGGTTAAACAGCTGTCCAGCACTCTCTGCTCTTCCATGATCCTTTAAATTATGTCAGACTTGAAACAAATCAAGTCCTTACAAACTAACTCTTGAGAATCTAGGTATGTTAGAACCGTAAGGAACTGTATACTTATGGAAGGCTTTTAGGGGTGAAATCATCGCAAAGAGAGCTTTGTTTGGCTTCATTTCCTTCCCTTCTTAATGTCCTGATGGTGAGTATTTTCTTCTATATACTTACATTATCCTGGTCGATAGGTTCATGATGCAATAAAGGAGTTCCCTTTTACCCCGATTAGTGTGCAGCAGAAGGAGTAATACTGCACGGCATTTGGCAGTATTACAGTGGATTCCTTTTACAAAGTCCACTCAACCAAGTGTCAGCCATTTGGATGCAAATGAAAAATAATAGCGCCCTTTTTTATAGACTGTCTGAGTTATATTACTTTCGGTTCATAAGAGATACTAAGAGTTAAATTTGTTGGTCAGTATGTGTAACACATAATTTAGCCAAATAACATTAATGCAAAGATTAAGTCATATGCTTTGTCCATTAAATATAAACTGATAAGAGATAATATATCCTTACTTCAACTGCGTACTACTAAAGATACAGAACAAAATGAGTCACCGATGAGACACTGCTGAAGTAAAGTATAAAATCATCTGTATTGCCTCGACGGCCATGGAAGCTTAAACAAGACAGTAAGGTAGACATTCACAGAGAGATATTTTTCATTCTTACGCCGAAAACATGCAAACCACTTTTATTATTGTTCCCTTGGATTCCGACAGGAACATACATCTTCAACAGCCCATTTCCATTTTGTCCTATTTGTTGTTGTCCTCTTCAGAATGGCCCCACTATTGACCAAAATATTTCATCTCCTCCGAAACACACGAGTTCGTCCATGTCACCCTCTCACACACGTCCAAATCTCCCTTTCCTTTCCGGGTTCCACTCTACCGATGGTCTGGCGCGCAATGCCATCCAAAGGCCTCCTCAACGAGTGTCCGAACCAGCCCCATTTCCCCCTTCATATTTCTTGACCAAAAGGGACTTCGTTGGTTGGTCCCCACAGTGTTTTGTTCGCCAATCGTTTCTGGACTACCATTTGATCTGTGGTAGGGAACCGGAGAAGCTAGGTGTTGATTAAAGTCCACAAATGGCTGTTCGAAATACTTTTCTTGACGCGTGCGCCAAGTTTCTTACTCATATAAAGAAGTGACTGACTGACTAACTTACCATCGGTGTTCAAAATCCGAATGTTGTTCTCTGTGCTGGGGCGGAGTGCAAACAATTTTCACACCGGTTTCAGAGTGATGAAGGTCTATTTCGCCTTTCCACTCATTCTCACATACTCATCAGTCCCAACCGCCTGTATTTGCAAGGATGCTGCCTATGATCGGTGCTTGGTGTCGTTAGTCCATTGGTTGTCTTCCTTACCTCCTTCTTCAGTATGTTCACTTGAAGTCCTGTATTATCTGTCTACTTCTTTCACCAGAGTTTTAGTTTCCGCCTGTAAGTCTTCGAGTTTGTGTGATATTAGACTTAAGTCATCCACGCGCGAATTCCACATCACTTAGAGTATTATTATTGGTCCAGTCTATTCCTGTCTTTTCGCTCTCTACCCCTTGCCTTACGCATAATCCAGTCCATCGCAATTAGGAATATCATGGTGATAGTAAGCAGGTAGTCTTGTCTCACTCCTGTGGTCACTTCAATCACAAGATTTCGCTGAGTCCTCAATTGTGGATCACGTGACACGTGGCATTATCATATAGCTGTTGAATAAGCAAACCACTATACCGAATGAAGGAAAACATCCACACATCGTTAGAATACCTAATATGGATCACGAAATAACATCAGTTAAGGGACCGTTGAAACAAAGAAATTACGGAACAATCACTTGGTCGTAGTCCAAGGCTCTTCAGTAGTATGTGCCCATCATACCATCAGGAATCCAACCAAAAACTTTCAGGTGACGAGATGATTTCACTGACTAGTCATTCATTAAGACGGAATCCAGTGGCTTATGAATTCTCACTTTCGCTAATTCGCAATACATAGCACCATAGTTATCAAATCTCAGCATCGGTGAGTATGGGTTCTCACAGTGGTCACGAATTCTCACTGGAATTCCAGGTAACTTCATCCTGCAGTCAATCACCAGTAAGAAGTAGAAGGATTTTCAGGAAGTGATTTGTCGGAATACTTAGTTAGACTGATATCACATTTATTTCATTCATTTACATATATAGAATAAATTTGAATTACCTGATCCATCAACTGTCATTTGAAGCATATACGTAGCTGATTCAATCTTCATAATATTGACTATGTACAAGCTGAGGAGTATGATGAGGTTTAATTTTGACCTTTGCGACACCATTTTACTAAAGAAAATATAACAAAAGGAAGAATTAGTGTCTTTTCATCTAATGTAATTTAAAATAAATGACAGAAAATTACTTTTTCCTTCCTTGGGTTTTAAGCACAACTCCACTCCTTCTCTACGGTCCTCTTCAGCATGGCCTTACTAATACCGATAATCTCTCATCCCCTCCAAATCACACGATCATCTCCATATCATCGTTGGACACACGTCCCACTCGTCCTTTCCAAGTTGGTGTCCACTCAATAGCTTGGCACGCAAGTGACCTAATCAATATTAATCCATGTATAAAAAGTATTCGTGAATCTAAATTGTTGAATATTTCACAAGCTCGGTGGCACTTTGAAAAGAAGTATGCGGATTACTCGTCGGATGCTGGTCAACTTGACTTTACAGTAAGTGAAATTTGCAAGCCAATTTCTCATAGTTAGACGAGGTGAAATTTCAAATCAATTTCCTTTGAGAATCAAAAATATTCAGATCATAATATGCGATTCGGTTGATACGATAAATAGCAATCAAAAAAGCAAGCATATACGCATGACACCATAAACTACCGTTCGATTGAGATGAATAATTGTAAACCACTCCTCTCATCGACCAGTAGGTCCTGTTAGCCAGACATATTGAAGTGATCTAGACATCGAACAGCCATTTCACTGGTTTGGGAACAAGTCCATCGTCTGTGTGTCCGGTCTAACTCAACACAGATTGTGGGGTCAACTCAAGCCATCCTGTATATATATATATATGTCTAGCAGGCTGACATTCTTAACTAAATCGGAAAAATCGACAAATCGTGCCTCGACAGCTTCTGCTTCACTACCCCAAGAATCTCAATCAGCCACTTCGCGACTGAGTGTTGTGAAGAATCTATCATATCTAGTATTGAGTAGAGTTGAACATCCTGTTCAGACGAAGCCATATATCTTGCTGCCCACATACCCACACCCTCAGCCACATCGATGCCATCCGTTTCTCGACAAACTGAACCCGAACAGAGTATCTTGAACAGCGGCCGAAGTTCTTCATGAAATATCCTCAGATGAAAGAACACCACTAGAGAAGTATGCCGCTACTGTCAATGAAAAGAGAACTGATGATTTCACTAGGAAGTTAAATAAGAGTCTAAAGACAACAACTTAAACATGTGTCTTTAATCATTCCATTGCATCACTACTACCAACTCAAATACGAATCTTACCAACTGAGGACCTAAATGTTGAGATGCGACGTCAACTGTATTTGAGGTTTAATGCCTCGTTTCTTGACCAGATACACGAAAAGTCTAAATTTTGTAATTAATTGTCTAAAGTACACCAAAATCAGTTGAATAAATTAAGGAAGAACGAATATTCAGTGATGACACACTCGGCTGATGTCTCCCGAATAGCACTACCTAAAAGATCCAGCAGACTACATTGAACAAACTCTCATGAATTTTCTACAATGTCAACGGAATTTGTGAAAGAGACTTGTCAACAAGGATCCCACAGTGAACGGACAGAGCTACGAACTGCAAAGATATCTACCAGGGAACTTTATAAACAACTTCATCTATCCGGTGCTAAAATTCCCCGCGCATGTACAGATTGCTTTAGGCATACAAACCTACTGTTCCACTCTGTCCAATGCTAGATATGACAAATTCTAAATTACGAAGTTGCTGGTCTACATGCTTAGACCAGTGAAGGACAGACTGTCTAGACACAATCTCTGCAACATTTATACATATCTGGTATTTTTTTGGTAACGAGAATGTGTATCTTTCTCAAACGTTAACTACATATTACATAACATATCATATGAATAATTATAGCACTGGAACTTACCCACAATATAGACTAAATAGATGCTAACTAGCTTATCTCGCATAAAATATTTTGTTGGACTATTTATACCACTAACACACTACACTATTTCATTCAATGATTAATTCCATTAGCCAATCAGAAATTGACTCGATATGATTATTTATGTTTTTGTGTGATTAACCATCGTTCAGTTATAAAGCCGGATGTGTATGTAGGTGAATTGAAATTCTCTGCACGAGCGTCAACATTCATTTAAGTGGATTAGAAAAAAAAGGCTTAAACAAAACAGTCATGATTTTTAGAAACAAAATGTCAATTTAAGATCACTGATCACATTACTATTTTTACCTGGTCAGATATGTTAAACGTGATGAAATCTATTATACACAGGCATATGCATTATTTCACATAAATAAAATATTACAAGAAGTAATTTGTTGGATGGTAACTAGCCGTGGAATCCATGATGCGCTTGATGTCAGTTGCACGAAAGTTGGTGGCTCTCATCACCTGAGTGTTCTAGTGGATAACGCTTTGATGGTAGGGTAGGTACTGATTTCGAGTCTCATTGGGGACACCACCACACTGCTAAATCCGAACGATGAGTCCCAAGTAGGGCGAAATGCGCATCGTGGATTCGATTGCAATGCTAGTCAGCATCCATCAGAATTACTTCATGTTCATCGCCAGACATCGTCGTAGCATCTGTACTGGAAGGTGCCAACAAATCAACACAGGCTGAACATCTCACTCCAGTCAAATGATGGGAAAATCAAAATTGATTTTAGTTAGAGAAGCATTGAAAACCAACGGGGAGTAGTGGGCAGCTGTTTTGTCATAGTTTGGGGCTCACCGGCAGTACGCAGCCCCTGAGTGAGGTAGAAGTTAGAATTCATGGGCAGTGGGATATTGAGTCGAATCCCGCTAGCTGAATGGTCTAAGAGCAAGCATTCCTCGTAACCGGAAGGCTCTAGTTTCGAACCCCTTTCCTGTACTCCCTAGTGGTTTACAACTGTTCCCTATCTGATATTTTTTTATTACAGCTTGATGCCACACCGTATTTTCAGTACAAGTATGGAATTTTCAGCATGGATATCGGTAGCCCAAATTTTGCAGGCCGACCATAGATATTGGGTGTGCATCGGTAGGGGATCGAACCCCGGACCATATGCATGGTCAGCGGGAGTCCTAAACACTGTGCCACCGACGCACATATGAATCTATGATCAACTATGAAAACGATCAATTCCTAATAAATAAACTCGTATTAAAAAAATTCAAATTTCAGTTAAACACATGTGAATATTACAAGGGTATTCCTCTTGTTGTATTCACATGACAATGAAAGTGAAAAAATTAAATCCTACGTACAAATTTTCGGTTTTCTTTCCTTCCAAAATGGTGTATCGTAGTCTCATTTGTAGGTTAGTGTGCCTCCAGTTAATGTATTGTGCCAGTGTGCTTCTTGTTTAGCCATTGCGTCAAATGACAGGCAGTGTACAGTCTGAAAATTTGGGACAGTATTTGAATATTACGACAGTTAGCCAACCATGGTTGTTTGAATCCTGCCACTTCCTAGCAGTCAGACAACATATCCATTGCAGTCCTACAGGAGGTGAATCCTGAGCACAAATAGATAGGTCGTAACGTTTCTGACTGCAGCACTGGTTGACGTGGTGACATACCCCAAAGTCGATATTGGTTCCTTCACTGTAGCAGATACGCCTTATTGATGAGTGCGGAGAAGCACTAGAGAATGGGATGCCTGCCAAGTGCATTCAACTATCTAACATATGTCCAACATATTTGTGTCTGAGCTCATTGTAGGATGCAAAAGCAATCAGTTTCCTCCTTCCAATTGCTTTCAATCCCCGATGGTTGCTCTTCCTTCTTTCGGGTAATCGTCCTACTCAAATCGTGTGGCACCATCTAACACTTGACTATTCCTAGATATGTGGTTTTCGCCACTCCTTAAAACCATCCATTAAAAACCCTGTTTTGTTTATCGAAGAGTAACAACAGAATTTTCAACGCCTTGTTGTTAGGCAGCCTACACAAAGTGTCAGTTCAGTATTAACAATATTGCTACTCGAATATTAGTCATTTTATTGCTAATATTTCAGTGGGAACAAGCCTTTCAGAAGTTCATACCTTTCCACTCACTCACTCACCATTCAGCGAAACTACACTCGTGCTGAATTCACGCTACTTTCTCCTGTTGTCGTATTATGTGTACAATGTTCATTGGCGTCATATCAAATACTTGTTTTGTTTTCAGCATTTTCTGTTTTCATATCTCATCTACTTCCGGATAAATTTGCCAGCTAATTAATTGTTCAGAATCGAAAATTACTGACTTTGTCTCACTTCCTGTCTATCATACTGAATAATTGTTTTGCCTCGTTACTTAAACATTTCATTCATTTTATTTTGACTGACATAAAGTTTGAAGATACAATGTCCAAACAGCCGTTCATATATACATTATTGCATATTATTGTTCCGTTGTATTCCGAGTGGAACAACTCATCTCCATGTCGTCTTCTTATCTGCAGTCATCTTTAACTGGCTCCGCAACTGCCCATTAGATCTCATCTCCTCCAACTCACACAATCTCCTTCATGTCACCCGTTGACCATGTCCAACTCGCCGTTTCTCATTCGGGTTCCACTCGAGCGATGACCTGAAGAGCGATGTCATCCGATGTTATCTCCACTATTTGTCTGATGCATCTCGACTCCACTCAGCATTCATCTTTGGCAATAGTATCTCGGTTAGTTCACTTTCCTGAGTTCCTTTTTTATAATACATTCTGGCCAGCTGGTCATCTGTTCTGCAGCTTGAAGCCGATGAAGGCATATGTCGATTACAGTCTGCAGTCAATGCCGACTCCCTACAGTTGAAACGATGCTTCCTAGGTGAGTGAAACAATAAATGACCTCTTTCGAATTTCTTCGGTCGACAGTGATTACTTATTGTTGATACTTATGTTAGTCGGCTGGTTGATTATCTTCGTCACCTCCATCTTCTCTATGCTTAGTTGAGGTCATGTCTTTACAGTCTGTATTTCAAGCCAGTTTGTTGGTTTTCGCCTGTAAGTCTTTGAGTTTGCGTTACAGTAGAGATAAATCATGCGCAAAGTCCAGTTCTTCTAGAGTTTTCCTATTGGTTCGATGTATTCATGTCTTCTTACTCACCATTCTTCTTCTCGCTCACCACCGAAAGACTTCCGTATAAACCAGTCCGTCACAAGTAGGAAAGTCATCAGTGATAGTGGGCTGTAAGCCTTATCCTACTCACAAAAGACAATATCAGTAATCTACAGAGTGAAGAAGAAACAACCCGATGATAAATGCTTTCATCTTCTTCTCGTTACTGAATCAG